GTATACCAACAATGAATCAGCAGAAGCAGGAATCAAGGAAAAAATCCCATTCAATATAGCATAAAGAAAAATAAAATATCTGGGAATAAACCTAACTAAGGAGGTAAAAAACCTGTATGCAGAAAACTACACAGCCCTGAAGAAAGAAATCAAGGAAGACACAAATGGAAACATATACCTTGTTCATGAATTGGAAGAATTAACATCATCAAAATGTCCATACTACCCAAAGCAATATACAGATTCAATGCAATACCTATTAAAGTACCCATGGCATATTTCACAGACATAGAACAAACACTTCGAAAATTTATATGGAACCATAAACGAGCCCGAATAGCAGCTGCTCTTTTGAGAAAGAAGAACAAAGTAGGGGGGATCACAATACCTGATATCAAACTGTATTACAAGGCCACTGTCATCAAAACAGCCTGGTCCTGGCATAAAAACAGGCACATAGACCAATGGAACAGAACAGAGAGCCCAGAAATCAACCCAACTCTCTACAGTCAATATTCGACAAAGGGGGTAGTAACATAAAATGGAGTAAAGATAGCCTCTTCAACAAATGGTGTTGGGAGAACTGGACAGCTACGTGCAAAAAAAAATGAAACTTGAGCACCAACTTACACCATACACCAAAATAAATTCAAGGTGGATAAAAGACTTAAATATAAGCCGTGACACCATTAAAATCCTAGAGGAGAACATCGGCAAGAAAATCTCAGATATTTCACGCAGCAACATTTTTACTGATATGTCCCCTAGAGCAAAGAATATAAAGGAAAGAATAAACAAATGGGATCTCATCAAAATAAAAAGCTTCTGCATGGCTAAAGAAAACAGTATTAAATTAAAAAGACAACCAACTGTATGGGAAGACATATTTGCCAATGATACCTCAGACAAAGGTTTAATGTCCAAAATATACAAAGAACTTACATGACTCCACTCTAAGACAACCAACCCAATTAAAAAATGGGAAAAGGATTTGAACAGACACTTCTCCAAGGAGGACATACAGAGGATCCAGAGACACATGAAGAGATGCTCAATATCGTTAGCTATCAGAGAGATGCAAATTAAAACCACAATGAGATACCACTTTACACTGGTCAGGATGGCTATCATAAACAAAGCAACAAACAACAAATGTTGGAGAGGTTGTGGGGAAAAGGGGTCCTTAGTCCACTGTTGGTGAGATTGCAGACTGGTACAACCATTATGGAAAACAGTATGGAATTTTCTCAGAAAAATAAAAATCGACCTGCCTTTTGACCCAGCAATTCCACTGCTAGGATTATATCCTAAGAATCCTAGAACATCAATTTCAAAGAACCTATGCACCACAATGTTCATAGCAGCACAATTTACAATAGCCAAGAGTTGGAAGCAACCTAGGTGCCGTCAGTAAATGAATGGATCAAAAAATTGTGGTGCATATACACAATGGAATTCTATGCAGCAGAGAGAAAGAAGGAGCTACTACCATTTGCAACAACAATGGATGGAACTGGAAAGCGTTATGCTGAGTGAAATAGGCCAGGTGTTGAAAGATAAATACCATACGATCTCAACTTTAACAGGGAGGTAAACAGTAAAACAAACAAGCAAGCAGAAAAAAAACAAAGACACTGAAATAGAGAACAAGGGGACAGTGACCAGAGGGGAGAGGGAAGGGAATTTAAGGGGAAAAAGGGGGAGGGATTTGGAGGAACAAATAGGAAGGACACAGGGATGAGAACTAAGGGGGGTGGAAATGGGAGGGTGGTGGGGAGCAAGGGGCGGGGGAGGCTGGGATGGGAGAAATAGACAAAAAACTGTACTTGAAAAATAACTAAATAAAATAAAAAAAGTTTATATGCAACCATAAATGACCCCAAATAGCTGCAACAATTTTGAGAATGAGGATACAATAGGAGGGATCACAATACCTGATATCAAACTATATTGCAAGGGCATAGTAATCAAACAGTTAGGGGCTGGCATAAGAACAGACACATGAATCAAAGAAACAGAATAGAGAGCCTAGAAATAAACCCAACCTCTATGGTCAATTAAAATTGGACAAAGAGGACAGAAGCATAAAGTAGAGTAAAAATAGCCTCTTCAACAAATGGTTTTGGGAGATCTGGACATGCCAAAAAATGAAACTCGACCACCGACTCATACTATACACCAAAATAAACTCATGATGAAGTAAAGACTTAAATATAAACCCTGACACCATAAAAGTCCTAGAAGAAAGCATAAGCAGGAAAATCTCAGATACTCCATGCAGCAATATTTTTAAAAATTCATCCCCAAGAGCAAGGGACATAAAGGAAAAAGTAAACAAGTAGGATTTCATCAAAATAAAAAGCTTCTGCAAGGTTAAAAACATCAGCAAAATGAAAAGGGAACCAACTGTATAGGAACATATATTTGCTAATGATACCTTGGACAAGTGTTTGATCTCCAAAATATGTAAAGAAGTCACACAACTCCACTCCAGCAAAACAAACAAACCAATTAAAAATGGGCAAAGAACCTGAATGGGTACTTCTTCAGAGAAAACATGCAGAGGACCCAGATATATTTGAAGTGTGCTCAGCCTCACTATCCATCAGAGGGATACAAATTAAAACCACAATGAGGTACCAGTTCACCCTGGTCAGAATGTCCATCATAAACAAGTCAACAAACCATAGTGCTGGGGAGGTTGTTGAGAAAAGGAACCCTAGTGCACTGTTGGCAGGAATGCAGATTGGTGTAGCCACTATGGAAAACAGTATGCAATTTCCTCAGAAAATTAGAAATGGAATTGTCTTTTGACCAAACAATTCCACTGCTGGGACTATACCCTAAGAATCTTAAAACACCAATTCAAAATAACCTATAGCACCCGAATGTTCATACAGCACAATTTATAACAGCCAAGTGTTGGAAGCAATGCACATTCCCATCAATAAATGAGTGGATCAAAATTTTATATATTTCCATGAAGCAATACTATGCAGCAGAAAGAAAGAAGGAGCTCCTACCTTTTGCAACAGCTTGTATGGATCTGCAGAGCATCATGCTAAGTGAAATAAGCCAGATGAATGATAAATATCATATAATCTCACCTAAAAGTGGAATCTAATCAACAAAACAAAATAAACAAGCAAGCAAAATATAACCAGAGACATTGAAATTACTGACAGTAACCAGAGGGGAGGTGAGAGTGGATAATGGGAGAAAAAGGGGGAAGGGTTGTCATAGAATATGGGTAAAAGACATGTGAACAAAGTCAAAATGGGGTAGGATCACGGATGGGAGGTGGGGATGGCTGGGGCAGGGATAGTGGTGTGGGCAAAATTGGTGACAACTGCATTTGTACAATACAAATATTTTAAAGATTTTAAGTTCCTATGATATGAAGCTGCAACAAGAAGTGGGAATATGAAATAGATAGGGAATTTAACTGGAGCCATAATCAAAACGAGATCCAAAATCATTACAGCAGGCTAGAACAATAGTCAAGATTTGAAGACTGAATTGTGTCAATTAAGGAGCCACAGATATAAAAAAAAAACACCTTATATCATTCCCCTTTACTTCCAGCACTTAAGGAAATTCAATCAAAGCTGGAGTTAAAGATACTAGTTCTTGTCAGGTTGAATGAAATATGGAAGGTGGCTCTTGTGATCAAAGAAATTCTCAGAACGTTCAGGTGTAGTAAAAATAAAACTGGATGTATTTTCAACTGTTAAAAAAAGAAAAGAAAACTATAGATGAATACAAGGAACTGGTTCAAAAGCCTAAATATCACATTCATGTATTAAATGAAAAAAATTAATTAAAAGAATAAACTCACACTTCTGCTATATAAAAAAAATAAAATAATATTAGCAATTTTTTTACCTTACTCTGAAGAAAAAAAAATGGACCATAAAAACAGTCTGCATACTGTATTAGGTAATCCATACAAAATAAATTCAGATCTACTTAAAACTTCTTTCAATATGTGTTTTTTTCCCCCATAATGTAAATAAGCTTACAAAATGAGCTGAAAGAGACTATGGACTTAGTCACACCCAGGTTTTAAATAGGTTCCAAACATGGAGGCAGTATGGTATAGCCCCTTAAGGGGATCAAATGAAATAGGGCATCTGTTAAGAACTGCACGTTTGTATCCTCTCCAAATTCATGTTGAAACCCTAAGATCCCAATGTGATAGTATTTGAAGGTAGGACTTTTGGGAGGTAATTAGTTTAGAAAGTTGAAGTCCTTGTAATGAGATTAGTGCCTAGAGGAAGAGATGCGGGAGCTCTTTTTCTAGAAGAGACATAGTAGGAGCGCACACTGAGGAAAGGCCATGTGACCACACATCAAGAAGGTACAGTGTCTGTAAGCCAGGAGAGAGAAGTAAATTTCTGTTGTTTACACTATCTAGTCTATGGTATTTTGCTACAGCAGCCTGAACTAAGACAGCATTTAAAGCACTTTGTACAGTGCCTGGAACAAAGCAAATCTTCATCAGAAGTAAGCTATTCTGCTTTTTTAAATTATTACTTTTTAAATTTTTTATTTAATTTTGTTTGAATTTTATTTTATTTTAATTGTTGTTCAAGTACAGTTTTCTGCCTTTTATCCCCATCCCAGCCCACCCCCTCAGGCCCCCCTTGTTATTGTCCATGTGTCCTTTATACTTGTTCCTACAATCCCTTCCCCTTTTCCCTTGAAATTCCCTCCCTTCTCCCCTCTAGTCCCTGTCAGCCTGTTCTCAATCTCAGTTCCTCTTATGAAAAATAAGAATACGTAAAGTGCCATAATTTATTTAGGTGAATCACTTGAGAAGTTTTATAAACCTATAAGAATTTCCTAGTTGAAATTACAGATTTAAACACACAAAAATAAGTAATTTCTAATATTAAGAACTTTTCCTATTTTATTCATAACAAAATAAAAACAAGTTTTGCAGGCCACCTATTTGACAATGTAACATTTATTATGAAAATGCAAGAAATTTGAAATACCTCTCTCGTAATTTTTTCAGCTCCACATCTCTTTCACCAATCAGTTCTGAGATACTAACAAAGTAATTATGTTCCAAATTTAGGAGCGTTTCGGAGGCAGGGGAGTGGATTAGGTCATGGTACACATCTGCAAAATCTTCATCCCAGCTCGGTTCCTCAGGCCTTGCATGCTCTAATGTGGTCTGCAAATGATACACAGACATTTTAAAATTATGATGTAGGATTTTTATTTAATACACTACTAGAAAAGTATATTATGATTTTATTTTTGTAACTCAGACAAGGACAGGACCCTCTATTTATTTATGTGTGTATATTGGTTATCTGGGATGATCTGAGTACACATAAAAAATTAAAAAATGTAAACTAAGTTGTTAATACAGGTTACCTGGAGGCAGGATGGGGAGGGGCTAATGTGCAGTGAGAGACAGGAAGTGTCGATAATGGGGCTAAGTGTGCTATAATCCAATTTCTGTAAAATAGCACATACATACACAAAGGAAAGATCAACAAAATGCTAATGATAGCTATTTCAGGACAGTGGGACTGCTGACATCCTTTGCTTTCTTTATATTATAAGGCATTGTATAATAGAATAATTTGCATGTATTAATCACATAATTAGAAAAAACTTTTCATTATTAAGAAATACATTGTTAAAATGTTTTATAGGCTATCCATTTAGAAAATGAGGTTCCTATGTAGTCTAAAGTATGGTGATGCAATAACTTTGAAAACCCAATTCATACATAGAATTTTATATCAAGATAAACATATATAATTTTCTTATTTTGATCCTTTCTAATATTCTGCTTTCTTCTTAAAATGTAAGCATGGTTATAGGTACTTGAAAACAGCAGCTATCAAATGATAAAGCAACTGAGTAAACAGTGATAAAAACAGAAACCCATAGACAGGCAAAACAGAATACCCTCAGCACAACACACAAATCCACCCAGGCAGGTACAGAGTCCTGCCCCACAGACATGTCATGTGTAGGCACATCAGACAGACATAGTACTTTACAAGTGAGGAAACTAATATGCTGGGTCGAGGATCAAACAATTTAATGGCAAAAGTGGAAATAACAAAAAGATTTCAATGTTTTCCATTATTGATCTTTGTAGACACACAATTGTAAAAAAAAAAAAAAAAAAAAAAGAAAAATCTGAATGTTTCCCTTTTCTTACCAAAGAAAAAATTAAACACCATAATCTATAATGGCAGCCCCCAAGCTTTTTGTCACCAGGAACCAGTTCACTTGCTTGCCCGCCACTCACCCCTACTGTATGGCCCAGTTCCTAAGAGGCCATGGACCTGGTACCCCAACCTATAACCTTACTGCAGCAATAATTTACTTTAAAAAGAAAACAAATGGATTAATCACAGCAACAGGTATTTTCAATGTGGTCAGTTAGTAGGTGAACTTTCCCCCTGGTTTTCTTTCAATTAATTTGGCAGATCAGGAGGGAAGGGTTTAAGATGATGCGCTCAATCTAGAACATCTACTCCATGCCTCTGAAAACCTGAAACCACATTTTGATAGCTGCTGTATATCTTTAGACCTGGTACGGCTCTAGGAATTATAGCCAGCCCATGTGATTTAAACTAGGTTCAAAATTCATGTCAGGTTCAGGCTAAATTTTGTAGGAAGGAGTGAGTGCAAGATGGTAGGGATTTGTCTGGAGTACATAACACCAGACATGCAGTACCCTACTAGTCACATCAGCTAGCTAATAATTTGCAGCATCAATTGAAAACTCAGCCTATAGCAAACTTTAGAATAGGTAGAAACTGCTTACATGAGAAGCACTACTTAAACAGTTTTTCCTTGACCTAACCCTTCCATTACCTCAGGGGAGATGATATGAGAAAGACGACTGTGAAAGCTGAGAGAATGGGGCACTGAGTGAAGGCCTGCTGAAAGTATTCAATGTCCAGGCTATTATTTTTTTTACCTCCACATTCTGTCAATAAAGCTCAGCTTCTCTGAGTTCAAATCATTAGGCATCCCTTATCTTTAGCAGCCATGGTTACCTAACAACCTACCTGTCCCTCACCCTCATCCACATATTTCTCTGACCCACATCCTGTCACCAGCCCTGATCACTTGGATGTCTCATGGATAACCCATCCTATGCCTTGCCTTCCTTCTTCTCTACTTTAATAAGTCTTCCACTCCACCTCAGTCACCCATTCTATATCATTACTAAGAACAATTCAACCTCGAAAATTCAAACATTTGGTTTCTGAGTATACCCTCCAACTAAGACCTCATTCGGTTACTCCCAGGCTACTGTTTCTTCAACCTCATCAGGACGTCTACTCCATAGGCCCTTCTCTTTTCTCTCTTTCTCTCTCTTTTTTAATCTGCCATTAGCTCCCACCTAATTTCACTTTCTTCCCTTTGTAGTTTAAATTCCATGGTCCAGCATTCAACCACTGTCTTGTCAAAATCCTCAACTCCCCTGACAGATATTCTTTCTCTTGCTCACCTAATAAAACTCTAAACCTTACAGCCAGGCCGTAGAGAGCTGCAGCAGAAAAATTACAAAAACTCTAAAGTTTATGGTGGCAGACTGGTGTGACTCTAATCCTTCCCTGATGCCTAGCAATCTATCTTCCTCTGGTTAGTTCTCTTCTCAAACACCCAGCTGTCTCATTAGTCCCCCACCTCATCTGAAAACATCGCCTGTCTTTATTAGTTCTCCATAAAGTAGAAGCAGTTAGAAGAAAATATCCTCAACTTCTGCTATCAAAGAAGTAACATTTTCTTCCCTTATATCCCTCCATCCTTTCTGCTATAGTGAAAGAAGTGTCGCTCCTCCCAGTAAAAACTAATTCTCTATTTGAGTTCTAGATTCTATCCCTTCTAGTCTTCATCTCTACCATCCTAAAAAAAAAAATCTCTGACCTTGTATTCCCATTTTGAAAGTGCCTCGTCCTTCTTCTCTATATAGCCCTTGAGTTATCTTTATTCATTCTATTTCCATACTCCCACACATTCTTAAAGTCATTGAAATCTAATTTCTGCCCCCACCAATCCACTGCAACTGATCTTTCTGCAGATAAGATAACTTGGTAAACCCCAAAGATAATGTTATTGAGTCTTTTCCTTGCTTGGACTTCTCTGCAGCATTTGAAGCTGTTGACTATTCCCTCCTTCTTGGTGCCTTTTTCTTAACTTTCATGAAACTATAATCTTTTACCTTCTCTCTACATCTTTGGGCAGCTCCTTCTTCCTCTGTTTATCCCTTAAGTGCCAGTGTCTGGTCATTTGTTTGTATATTCATTCATTCCCTTTTTTTTTTGGGGGGGGGCTGTTCATCTATCCTATCTATCTAACACACACTAAAGCCCTATTATTTGCAGGCTCTGTGCTAGATACCAGAGCTATAACAGACAATAAAGGAGACAATTACAGGTAGATATCCACAAGTAAAGGATACAAGTAAGTCAATACGCAATTATAATACAGGGTTTTCTCAGGATTCTTTCCAGGTATCTAATCTTCTCATTTCACATAAACACCCTGCACAATTTCATTCATTCTATGACTTCAGAATTCATCTGTGTATGAATGACTTCTACACCCAGGTCTCCAGTCTAATTATCTTTCCTGACTGCCAGATCTATATATTTAAGACCTTGTGAGACATCTTTACTTAGGTGTCTTATGGGCACTTCATATTCAATAGGTGTAAAACTGAAGCCATCACTTTTATGCCAAAACTTGCCTCTCCTCAAATGAGCAGAGACCCCATTCCACCATCTACCCAGTAGTCCCAAACAGAAATCTAGGCCAAGTGATGTTTTATCATTTAAGTTTCAGCTTAAATGTTACATCCTTAGAGGAGAATTCGCTAAACCCATATCAGTTAGCCTGCCACTTCCCAGTTCTCTCTGTTGGAACCATATTTATTTTCTTATAAGATGTTTACAATTATACATTAGTCATGTGCTTGTGTAATAACTTTCTTCTTCACTATCGGTAGGTAAGAACAAGAACCAAATTTGTTCTGTTGATATACCCCTAATGCATAGCACAGAACCCACATACAGTATTTGTTGAATAAGTAAATATATGAATAAAAAACATTATCTTTTTATCCCCACTACTACTATCTAGACTAAGATTTCATCATTTCTTCCCTAAAACTGTAAGTCTTCTAACTTATTCCAAATTTCTCCCTTCCAAGATATTGTTCACACTAATACACTAAACCGATTCTTCTAAAATGTAAACATGATCTTCTCACTCATCTGCTAAACTCCTTCAGAGCTGCTCATTACCATCAGCATAAAGACAAAATTAACATGCCTTGCAAGACTCTTTTCTAGCCATCCTGAACTTCTTTCCATTTTTCTAATGTGCCACAGGCTCTCTCATCTCCAGGCCTTATAGATGTTACACCCTCTGTCTAGGATATTCTCTCTCTGCTCCTCCACCACACACCTTTCACCCACCTATTTCCAACCATCTTTCAGGTCTTAACTAAATTTCTCTGTCCTCTGGGAAGCTTTCCCAAAGTTCTGTAGACTAGCATATGTGTACCAGCTTTGTGCTCTCACAGGACCCTGTAGTCCCCCTCTCACAGCATTTACCACACTGCACTAAAGAGAATTTAAATGTCGCCCTGTTAGACTGTATACTCTGTGAGGGTGAGAACTGTGTCTATTTGGTTTTTGTTATACTCCAGGTGCCTAATACAATATTTGATATGTAACTGATGCTCAATACCCATTTGCTGAATCAATGAATGCAAAGAGAACTAAGTACTGAAATGGAAGACAGGGCACCACCAAAAACAAACAGCAAACTTCACAATTTTGACAATGATTCCTCTCTTTGCTTTTCCTTACTGATCAGAGTTTATTTCTCATTATTAAAAAAAAAAAAGAAATCTAATGTAATAACAAATGATATAGGAGTGATTAGAAGAAACAGTATAATTAGATTTTTAGGGACCAGAAGCAGAAAAAAGCAAGCAATAGATCCTCTGAAAGTAGACAAGAAAAGGAAATGCAGAAGAAAATAGCATTACTCTACAGGGTAGGAATTAACGGTCACATATACTCTAATAAACTATTAAAACCTCCTTATACCACCCTGGCTGGTATGGCTCAGTGGAATGAGTGCCAGCCTGTGAACCAAGGAGTCACCGTTCCATTCCTAGTCTGGGCCACGTGCCTGGGTTGTGGGCCAGGTCCCCAGTGGGGGATGCATGAGAGGCAACCACACATTGATGTTTCTCTCCTTCTCTTTCTCCCTCCCTTATCCTCTCTAAAAATAAATAAATAAAAATATTTATTAAAAAAACAAAATAAAAAAACTTCCTTACACCATAAAACATATCCACTAAAGCCCAGCTCTGCGTATGAGGGTCACTGGTCCTCTTTAATTAAAAATCCTCATATAACAGAAGCATATTCAGCACATCTCTGCAGTGATGGGACAGACAGGCCTCCCTCTGTAGCAGTGCTTCGCTGTATCATTGTATAAAGGTATAATCACTTACACTTACAAGGATGATCTGGGGTCAATAGGAAGAACTGAATCTGATATACCATGCTTATGAAAACAAGGAAATGTGTTCCACATTTGCAAAAGATCTGTATCAAAAAGTGGTTAAAATAAAAGTTTCATGATTTAAGTATGTTATATCTGAAATATCTAGTAAATCCATTTCTATAAAATGGAGCTCATTCTCTTATAACCCTAGGCAACTGGTATTACTATAAACATTGTTATTTCACCTCCTTATTAATGCTCCTTGTTCATCTCCAGGTTACTGAAATACTATTTACCTGTATGTTGCAAAGAAGCTTTAGCACTCTTCTGTCTCATTGACTGCTCCGTTCTGCTTCTACGATCAGAGTCTGCTGCTGGTTATACTTTGATTTTTCTAATCTCCACAATTCTGAGGCTTCTAATCTCTTGCAGGCTCTTTTGCAATCTGCTACAGAGCTCCCTTTTCTTTTTTAATTTCTTCCTTTTGCTCACTAACTCCCATATTTCTCAAGTTTGTATTGAGCTGCTTGGCTTTTATATTATAATTTTCACAGCAAGTGAGAACTTAAACATATCCAGTGGGTATAGCAATACTTGGTTCTTGTCATTTACTTTCCTGTAAATATTTCCTTTTTTACTATTAAAAATCACTTCTTTGCCTTTCTTTCTCCTTAATTCTTTAAAGATGAAGAAGCTACTATAGTTCTAACCCTGGCACTGCTAGAAATCTGAACTCTACAAAAAGTGCTATGTACTTACTAAATGTAGAATGAGTGTAGAATAGAGTACTTGCTCAATTGACACTGATGATATTTAATTCATGATAAATCTGTACTCTTGTGATTAAATTAATAAGTATAAAGTGTTACTATTTTGTTAGATATGTGTTGCTATTATTGTTACTATTGTTAGGGTCATTAATTTGAAAGATAGTCAAATTCCTATTTTTAGAATGGCTAAAGCACAAAAGTAAAACCATAAATTTAGTATACATGGTAATCATTTTTTATAATTAAAAAAACAAGGAAGCATTTATTGACCTAGAATTCAGAAAGTTCTCTCTTTGGTTATATAAAATCAAGGATGGGATTGGTTCTGCTTCCAGATTTTATATTAAAACAAGCAATCCTAGAGGAGAAACTGCTTTCTTCAAGAATTCTTTCTTGACCACTCCTTCTTCCCCCAACTTTTCTAAATGACCCCACAGTACTTTACCCTAGTCGTAACACCAACTGCACAGTGTTGCAACAGTCTGTGGATTTCTTTGTCTTCCTACTAGACTGTATGCTTCTGGAAGGCAAACGTTTAGCCTCAGCAATATAACCCATCCATTTTAGAGGCACAAAAATATTGGCTGAATAAGTTCAATGAAATTATTCTTTTAATACATTTTATAGCTTTCTTTCTTTATATCAGCAGAGATTAGGTTTCTTTAAATTGTAATTATCACAGACATATCTTTTTAATAAAACAATTATGTTTTTAGAATTTAAAATATGTATAAGTAGTGTTATCATTTATATAAATTAGGAAACCTTTCTGGCAAAGACCAAACTGCTTAGAATGACAAATGCGATCCCATAAAATTGATTTCTTTTTTATTCTTACAAACTGAGTTGCTTAAATTGGGATGTAATTCACTCATTGTAGCTTGTAAATATTAAATTTGTTTGTTTACATAGTGCTATATCTCCCTCTCTAACTAAAACAAATTTCTTTTGTGTTTGTCTTGCTCACTATTTTATACCCAACACCTAATATAGTACCAGGCATATAAAAGGTTCTCAAAGTACTATATTTCATCAATTCTAAGATACATAGTTTTCCACATTACAACTCTCCAAAAATCAGAATATATCTTATATTTGATAGCATCTTGACATTCTATCACAGTTTAAAGGTGGAGGCGTTCTTAGTAGTAAATAAAATAATGGTGTGCTATGATCAATGGCTTGTTAGACTTTATAAAATAAGGTGTAATATTTTAATAGAAAACTTAACTATGTAACAACAGTGAAGGTAAGTGAGAAGACAAAGTAAACCAGATTAAAATAAACTACTACTGCTAGTGTAGGGTTGCTAGACAAAACACAGGTCACCAAGTCAAATTAAAATTTCAGATAAAAAATGAATAAATTTTTACTATGAATATGTTCCATAGAATATGTGGAATATGCTTTTACTTAAAAAGTATTTGTTGTTTAACTGAAATTCTAATGTAACTGGTGTCCTGTTAAATCTGGCGACCCTATGCTGGTTACAGATACAAAAGCAGCCTCTTGTTTTATAAAGGCATTACATAAATTACCGAGTCTTGGGTACTGACCCTGATATAAAAGGAAGTATTCAAGTATCAATATATATTGTATGTTATAGAATAAACTTTTATAATTAGAGAAAAATGATTCTCCAACTGTTTCACTATTATCTTAGCAATTTAAAAATACTCATCAAAGTTCAAAATATTGTGGAAATTTACAATCCGATCTATTTTCTTACCTCAGCGTAAGCTTTGGCCCACGTACTTGCCAGCTGATGTAAATCTACTTCACCTGACTTCACAGCTTCCAGAGATGCTTCAGCCTCTCTATCATAATCTCGGAGGGATTCTTCTTCTATAAACTGGCTCAGAGCTTCTTTTAAGTCTGTAATAGGATCAAGAAATGCCATCGTCAGCAAAATCCAGACATAGACAGAGATATTTTACCTGACTAAGCATCCCAATGTGAAATTTTATTACATCAAGCTTATCCCCTTATAAAATGTCTAAATAAAAGTTTAGGGGATCATTTAACTAATTCACAACCATTTTCCTTTAGTATTATAGGTTATTGCTTGAAGAATAGTCAAAATTCTTAACTCTTATGTATAACTTTGACATAATTTGTTAATATCTTAAGCCTGATGCTTCAGTTTGAAACTGAGTAGGTAAAGTCACATATAGAACCCTTCTACAGATTTTGAGGGTTTGAACCTATACTTAAATGAAATAGTTTCCTATACATGTAGTGCTATACTCTTTGATTCTGAAGAAATTGAATTAGTATATTAAAACTCATTTAATTCAGATTTCTGTAATTCTACTTCTAGAGGCAAAATTCAGAGGCTGATATAATGGGAAAAGCACTGAGATAGAAGTCAGGGTACTTGTATTCCTGTGTTGGCTCTGTCCACAATGTCACATTAGACCAGTGCTTCTCAGTCTTTAGTATGCATCAGAATTCCCTAGAGGGCTTACTGAACTAGCACGCTACCCTCAGAGTTTCTGATTGAGCAAAATAGCATGGGGCTCAAGAACATGCAATTCTAACAAGTTTCCAGGTGATGTTATTGCTTCTGACCAGGGAACAAATATTTAGAACCAATGCCAAAGGCAAATAATTTAACGTCTTTATGTACAGATTTCTTTATTTGTACAATGATATTGTGCTAGAAAGTTTCTATGTTTCCTTGAGCTCTGTCTACAATCCAACACATTCTCAATTTAAATTTTCTTTTCCCCTCTGTGAGGTGTAATAGAGACTTTTAAAAATTGTTTAATACAGATGAGATTATGGAAGTAATTTAGGTAAGCAAAAATTATTCAAAAATTTGTATTCTTTCTCTTCCATGACATCTCAGGAATTGAGAACCAGATCATTAAAGGGGCCATGCACTTAGCAATATAATTCTATAATATAATAAGCGATAGCTGAAATGCCTTATGAATTCACCCAACTAAATTAAGACATTAAAAGTTTTACTCCAAACTTTGTAACTAATTTTTCATTATATAACTTAATTTTTATACTAACTTGCCTTATAAACAACTACAACGGTTACAGGAAAAAACACTAAATAAAACAAAGGTCTGGGGAACATTTTTGTTCTTAAAAGAAGTTAAACACTTTACATTTTTGGCTCTTTCCAATGCTTCTTAGGTTCATGCTTTCTAACATGAAACTGTTAATGACAGAGACTCTAGAAAAATAATAAAGTGGTATTAAAAACATCATTCTCACCTTTTTCTATAAAGCATGGTAAACTGTGCAGTAGCATCAGACGTCCATGTAAATCACTGGCATTCTCTTGAACAGGAAATTTGAGGGGCACCCTCAGTTCTAAGCACTGACCTCCTATTTTGAATTTATACACAAATTCCCTTTCTCTGTTGCAGAATCTTTCTCTGTTCTTCTTCATCTTCTTTCGCAGGATCTCTACAGAACTAACAAAAGAATAAGCAGCAGGGTATAAGTCCATCAAAAACATGATGTACCTAAGACAATGTTCTGCCATTCAGAGATTTTATTTGAGTGACTCTTAGCCAATTATTCTAGTTTTTCTACTTTTATCATCTTCATGAGGAAAATGAAATGCTTCTTTTTAAAATGAAAAGCTTAAGGTTTGTTTAAGAAAAAAATGTGCCCATAGAGAACTTAGCATTCCTAGGTAGGGGTCTCAAGAACAGGAAAAGAACATGGAGAAAAGAGCAGAAAGGATTCTTAGGAAGAGATGCATGGGTGGGCAGATAATAGAATTTGTGAAACAGCTGGTGACTATAATGTCAAAGTAACAGATCAGGGACCAAGAAGCAATCTTGGAGATCTTATGATGTATGAGATCAGACTGGGGATAGAGGGAAGGGAAATGGGCATCGGAAAGATTTCCATACGGGAAAAAGATATACAGAAAATAGAAAGCACAAAATATCCCACAAGGCAGGCTGTTCAGACAAAATATCCTGCAAGGATGTTGTTCAGAAACAGAAAAATCTAGTCAAAAAGAGTAAGAATCAATATCAAGTAAAGGTTTACTTATCAGCCTCCTTCCTAGATTTCAATGTCTAGGCTTTTTCCTCATCAAAGCAGTTCTTACACTATTCTGAATCAGAACAAGACAGGACAGTGAACTCATAGTAATCTTTCCAAAGTAGACACCTGATCGGATAAAATTCAAACTCCTTAACCCAATTTACAATGCCTCTGCTTAAATCTCCAGGTTTTTTTTTTTTCAGCACCTGCACCTCTCCTCCCCAAGGCACAAATTTGCAAACTTTATTTTCCAGCCATATTGAACTCCTTTCAATACTAAACCTCTTTTCCCACTCCCAATCTCTCTGAATGGTCTTTCTTTGCCTAGAACACTTTTTGCTCTTTTTCCTTGGCTAAATGCTTTTGGTAAATAATAACCATTAGCTTTCGTTTCAATAGGTTCAACACTTAGACGTATGTTTCAACAAATTAATTCTTTAGTTCTCTCTCCCCGCATTTTCTTTTTTTTTTTAAAGCGGGGGTGAAATCAAAGAAGGATTCCCATGCAAGAATGGGATGGGAGGACGAGAGCAGGACCGAACTTACACCGCCAACGGGGTGGAGATTCTAAGGGCAGACTGAGGGGCTATGAAGCTCCAGCCGAGGAAGGAGCAGCCGCTCTATCACCGGGCTGCATTCTGAAGGGGCATCATGACTCTAGGTTCTAGACTCACCTCTCCAAGTTCCGAGGTCTGAGGGATCCGCGCACTCGAAATGTCAAAAGCCGCCGCAAAGGGAACTATGGCTGACTTACCCGCTGGTTTTTATAGCCAGCAATCCGCTTCGGCCGATTCGCCCACATCTTTTCCTTTCCCAGCACCACGTAGAAAATTCTTCGATCTAAGTGCTTCCTTGTTCCATCCTGTCTCAACTTAACCATTTAAAGTGTAAGAAGGAGTATTTCTACTGCTGTGTATTTCAGAGTATGCACAAAAGCCACCCTTGTGACGAAACTGTAGCGGCAAAGCACAAACTCTACTCTGGTAGAACGGAAACGGAAAGGCAATGAATAGGGGAGGGCGTGAACAGACGAGGTGTTCGGCGGACGCAGGCGCGTTCGTAAGGATGCGGGTAATCATTGGAGGACTGTTGTCAGGGGGCGGGGAGATCTGCTCTCCGGGTTTGGGCGGGAATTGAAACCGCCTGTTCTGCCTACAAGAACGTTATAGTTCTAAATGTTCAGCTTTGAACGTAACCATGGTTCGGCCAGTGAGGTGAGTAGTTCAGGACACACGGCTGGGATGGTGAGAAAGAGCGGAAAACGCTGTTGGCATCTTCACCTACGCACGACTAAGAAGAGAGGGCCGAGTAGAACCGAGGGTAGCAATAGTGGGGTGGTGGAGTGGACGGTTAACGGGAAACTCTCCAGCTTCCCCTCAGGGCCACCCACTGTGCTCTTTTTCCATCTCCTTCCCTCCCTTCGCAGCAGTTGCCGTTTCTTGTATGCACCCCTCTCAAGTAAGACCTTGTTATGGTAATATTCCAACAGCCCTTTGCATTTAATCGAGCTCCTACTTACGTGCTATTTCATTTGTTCACATTTGATATGGCAATTTAGGCATCCCTGTTCTCGAGTTAAACTTCCAGGCATAAAGACCAGTTCACCTGGGTAGTGAGTGGAAGGATAATGCTCAAACCTAAGTCAACCTGGCTCCAGATTCTCCGTGCTTTCCATTATACTATTCGAAACTGTTTATTTAACCACAGTTGAGGCCTGCAGTCCGCCACTCATTCAGTAAAGTTATGAAATATATTTACTTTTATAGTAAATATAGGTGCAGAAGGTTACATTTTGACCAAGAGGTGAGGTAGCGGGGCCAAAAATAAACACTGCAATGTGAGAGAGAGTGAGGAGGAAAGCTCTAGTTTAAATAGGATATTTAGGATGTGTCTCTTTGAGCAGATAACCCCTGAGCTGAGGCATGAATAACAAGAAGAAGATAGCCAATGAAAATCTGGGGCAATCCAGGTAGAGGGAACAAGAGCCAAAGCCCTGAGATTGACCATATTTGGGGGACAGCAGGAAGGTCACTAAAGCTGTAGCATTCACTAGCAGTGGGGAGCATTGTAGGAGATTAGGTCAGAGGAATAGGTAGGGCCTTGCAGGATTTAGAAACAGTTTGGAGGCTATTGTATCATTTCACTGGACACTGGTTGGGTTGGGGTGTTACTGTGGACATGGAATGGGACAGATGAATTTGGAATATTGCATTTTGGAGTTACTGCTCTCAGAATTTGCTGATGAAGTAAGTGTGAGGGTAAGGGGGAAAATAATCACAGATGACTTGATATTTGTACTAGCTGAGCTGGGGAAGATCATGAAAAGGAACAGGTTCAGGAGGTGGGGCAGGGATCGAGAGTTCTGTTTTGAATGTGCTAAGTTTGAATGTAAAGGTGGTGAAAACATGATCCCTTTGCCTGGAATACCAGTTGTCATCATATGATTTGCACATCTTTTCAGGTCCCTGAGACCTCAGGAGGTCCGTGAGGTCAAAACTATTTTCATAATACTGTCATTACTTGCTGTTTTTAATTTTCCATTGTTTTCATTGTAATAGTGATCAAGTGGTTGGTACCTTTGTACAAGTCAAGGCAGTGGCACCAAACTGTAGGAGTAGTCATTGTATTCTTACTGCTACACACTCAGAATAAAAATTTAAAAAATAAATAAGAAGTGCCAGTTTCACTAAAAAATGTGCTTGATGAAGCAGTAAGAATTATATTGTCATAGTTTAACCATTGGGCATACTCTTTTAAGAGTTGATTTTATTTTACTATTATTTACTCCTAGGATTTACAAAGGGCTTTCTATATTCAGCTCTCAAAGTCCTTAATTCCAAAGAGTAGGGCAGTAACAAGAATATGCTTCATTTGAATGTTCTGTATGAGGAAACGAGAAGGATGCACAGAGCAGTACTACAGTTGTTGTCTTAAGGAAGCAAGCACACTTGTGAGTGGTGAGCTGAACTAGCCTCTTTTTCATGGAAAACCACTTTTTCTTGAAAGAACAATTAATATATTAGATTATTCACACTTCGGAATTTGGCAGAAGACAGAAAACTAGAATACCATTTCATTTAGTGCCCAGAGGGAGGAAATTATTTTTTTCACCTTTGCCTAAATGAAAAACTTCTGTCTTGGTCATAGGAATAAGAAACCAGTCAATTACTCACAGTTCGAGGACTCCGATGATGATGGTACGTAGTTTGTCTTAAAGATTTGGAGATCGTTTCCTCAGAAATGTGTGTGCATATGTGTATGTGTGTGTATATAATGTTGAACATATCGCCCAATTGCATATGACCTAGGTCTAGAAAAATAATTTTCTAAGCACTTGGGATAATTATGCTGATAATTACACTGACAAGAATTATGTAGATGAAATTGAAGGGCCAGGTAAAGTAGATCTATAGGTCCCCATACCTCAAAGTGAGGTTCGACTCCTTACTTTGGAGTAGAGACTGCTTTTTTTTTTTTTTTCTTTTGAGACACAAATATGTTACAGAATATAATGTGAAATCTTGGTTAATTGTACAATAAAACAAGGCCTTAAAGAAAGGCTTCAGTTATACTCTGTTCCATTATATGTTTACTTGTCTCTGCTATAAAGGGAACTTTGGTCAAAAAGTTTGAGAAATATGGGGTTAAGTTATGTTATCTTTGAAACAGGTTTTGTATTTCTCAGTCACCAGAGCTTTTTTGAGTCAAATACTTATTAATTCTGAGGTTTGAAGGAATGCTGTTTTGTCTTGGGCACAGCCTTAAATGGGTGTTAAGACTTAGGAGAAAATAATGTGGAATATAATTCATAGCCTTTTATCACTTCATCAATCTCACACCAAATATTTATAAATTACCAGTTATAGTCTAGACATCATGGGATAGAGATGGAGACAAGTCACAAGTTATTATATTCCTATATGAGGAAGCATATTACATACAACATGTATTAGTATGTGATTAAAACTACAGGTAACGTAATAGTATTCATACATGTGTCGTGTGAGTTTAAAAGCTACAGCAGCAGTTTTATGTTGAGTGTCTACAGAGATATGTCAGCTTTTTAGTGAATTGATTTTGGATAGATATTTAAGAAAATAAAGGCCATTAAAACAATTAAACGAGTGAGAATAACAACTATATATCAATAATATTTTTTAAATTGTGAAAAATAATTTGCTTAACCTCATAACTTGAACACACACCATAATAAATTTTAACTGCTAAGAAAATAATTTTATTAATTTCTTAGAAAAAGCAATTTTATATATTTTTTTATTTTTAATTCACACATGAATAGATGATTTTGTTTCTGCAACTGGACCTTTAAATAAGAAATCCAGAACAACACCAAAGGAATTAAAACTAGAGAGGCCAAAACTTAAATTAAAGAATCTCCAGAAAGAAGACATCCCATTACAAGAGAAAACTCCCCAAAAAAGGTGAGAGGTAAGACATACAGTAAATATATGATATCATATGTATTAATTTAAAAGACAGACAGCTCTGGCTGGATGGCTCAGTTGGTTGGAGCATCATCCCTTACACCAGAAAGGTTGTGGGTTTGATCCCTGGTCAGGGTAAGTATGGGGCACAGCCAATGGATGTTTCTCTCTCTCTCTCTGGCTTTCTCTTTCTCTCCCCCTTTCTCCCTTCTTCCCTTCCTTTCCTCCCTCTCTCCCTCCTTCTCTGTCAAAAAAAAAAAAAATCAATAAACATATCCTTGGGTGAGGATTTAAAATAAACAAACTAATAAAAAGAGAAACAGATTCAAACTTTTGGTTTAAATGTGTGCTCAAGTAGAGTCCTAGGTATATGCTACAGCCTATATGGTACAACCTTACAGGGGAACATCTCTTATAGGAGAACAGGGTTGTACCATTTATCCCCTCTGGCTTAAAAAAGAAATTTGTAAATACGTCAGGAAATATCCACTTAAATATTAAGGCAATTATACTTATAAAGTTTTGAAATTATAGCTTACTTTTACAGGACCCTGTCCTTGTCTCTCTGAAACCCTCAAGTCTTACAAGGCTACTACTTTGTTAAAAATTACATTTGTAAGGAAAATTTAATAAAGCTTAAAAACATGTATTTTCTACAAATAAGATATTTTCTCTTTATATTGTTAAGACTTGTCAGCAGTGAGAAAATCCTGCAGTTTCTAGACTAATCCTGGAATTCCATCAGTTAGCACCAAGAGGGAAGATAGGGTGAGGGAAGTCCTGAGAGATGCAAAACTTGCAATATGGAGAGGAGATGGACAGAAGTGTATTAATAAGTGGAACATGGGGCATGTGATGGTTTACTACTACAAGTATGAGAAAAGTTAATTAACAGTGAGACTCTGCCCTGGCTGGTGTGCCTCAGTGGACTGAACGCTGGCCTGTGGATCAAAAGGTTGGCAGTTGGAATCCTGGTCAGGGCACTTGCCTGGGTTGCAGGCCAAATCCCCAGTTGGCAACCCATCAGTGTATCTCCTACACATTGACGTTTCTCTCCCTCTCTTTATCCCTCCCACCTCTCTAAAAATAAATAAATAAAATATATATTTTTTAAAGTCACTTAGCTCATGTCATTCTCTTTACTTTTCTTCCTCTCAATTTTTTGAGCTTCTTGGACTACACTTTAAATATAGTGGGGGGGGGGGGGAAACAACCCACAAAGTGGGAGAAAGTATTTGCATATCATATAATCAATGAGGGATTTGTATTTAGAATTTTTAAAGAACTCTCACAACTCAACAATGAAAAGAATAATAATCCAATTGAAAAATAGGGCAAAAGATTTGAGTAGATATTTCTCCAAAAAAAGGATATGCAAATGGCTAATAAGCACATGAAAAGATGCTCAACATCCTTAGCTGTCAGGGAAATGCAAATCAAAACCACAGTGAGATAATATGTCATACTCACTAGGATGGCAATAATTTAAAAAGATAGATAATAACAAGTGTTAAGAAAGATCTGGAGAAATTAGAACCTTTATACATTGTGGCTAGGAATGTAAAGTGGTGCACCTACATAAGAATACAGAGTAGTAGTTCTTCAAAATGTTAAACAAAGGTGCATGATCCAGCCTAGACATATGAAGGGGGACCAAAAAAAAACCAAAAAAACCCCGGAGTTATCTTTGGGAGTGCAGACCCCTTGTATAGGCTTCTTTCGCTAGGTTAGTGTTCTAGAAACCCATCTGTATCAGTGTACCAGCTGGTGTTGTTGTGAGAGGCTGAGTGCAACTTCAGTGACTTTTTTGAAGACTTTCAACGTTTCTCCATTTTATGTTGGGTGATTTATGAGTGCACCTGCTCACACTATGCTGAGTGTTCAGCAGTTTTTGACCCAAAAAATATGACCTCCCTGTGCCTCTATTTACTTGATCTTTCCGCAAGCGACTTCATTTTACCAGTATGGAAGAGGTGAAACAGAAAAATGGCAGAAGCGCTAAAAGGCATCAAAATAGACGAGTTCAGAAACTGTTTTAAGCAGTGAAAAAAGACATCTCTATAGGTGTATTACATCAAGTTGAGAATATTTTGAAGGTGACTGAAGTTTAAACATGTAAGAATAAATACACAATTTTTTGTAAGTAAATTCCGGTTTTGGGGGGACTCCCCCTTGTATATTCAAGAGAAATGAAAACCCATATCCACACAAAAAAACCTGTGCATGAATGTAGCAGCATTATTCAGAAGAGCCAAAAAATGAAAGCATCCAAATGTCTTCTCAACTGATGAAAAGATAACATGGTATTTATCCATGCAGTGGAAGACTATTTAGTGACAAAAAGAAGTGAAGTACTGATATATACACTACAGCGTAGATGAACCTTGAAAACATGCTGATGGAAAGAAGCTAGGTACAAAAGGCCACATGTTTTGTGATCCCATTAATACAATGTGTCCACAATAGTTTAAGTCCATAGGAATAGAAAGTAAATTAGTGGTTGCCAGATGCTGCGCAGTGGTTAATGGGGAGTGAATGCTAATGGATACAGGGTTTCTTTATGGGGCTGATTATACAGGTTTCAGGTGTGTAATTCTATAACATCATCCACAATGTTCACCACCCCAAGTCAAGTCTTCATCTGTCACTATTTACCCTCCCCCATACCCTCTATCACTGCCCCCTTCCTTCACCTCATCTCAGCAATCACCATACTGCTGTTCTTGTCCATGAGTTTTTTCTTTCACTCAGTCCCTCCTCCCTTCCCCCACACACAGTCCCCCCCAACCCCGACAGCTGTCAGCCTGCCCTCTCTATGAGACTGTCTCTGTTTTTCTTGTTAGTTCAGTTTGTTCATTAAATTCCACATATGACTGAGATCATGTAGTATTTGTCTTTCTCTGCCTGGCTTATTTCACTTAGCATAATACTCTCAAGTTCTATCTATGCTGATGCAAAGGATAAGATTTCCTTCTTTCTTACTGCCAAGTAGTATTCCACTGTGTAAATGTAGCACAGCTTTTTTTATCCACTCATCTGCTCATGGACACTTGGCTGCTTCTGAATCTTGACTATTATAAATAACGTTGCAATGAACATAGAGGGGCATGTGTTCTTTTGAAATAGTGTTGTGGGTTTCCTCAGGTAGATTCCTGGAAGTAGTATCTTGAGTATCTTGAGCAGTTCCATTTTCAATTTTTGGAGATAACACCACACTACTTCACACAGTAGTTGCACAAATCTGCATTCCCACCACCATGCACAAATGTTCCACTTTTCCTCACATCCTCACCACTTGTTGTTGTTGATTTATTGATAATAGCAATTCTGACAGGTATAAGATGATATCTCATGGTGGTTTTAATTTCCATTTCTCTGATGATTAGTGACATTGAGCATCTTTTCATGTCTATTGGCCATATGTATGTCCTCTTTAGAGAAGTGTCTATTCAGGTCTTTTGCCCATTTTTAATTGGATTGTTTGTTTTTTGAGTCATATAAATTCTTTTTTTTTTAAATTTTTTTATTGATTATGCTGTTACAGTTGTTCTATTCCCCCTTTCATTCCCCTCCACCCTACCCCCATCCCCACCATTACCCCCCCTTTAGTTTATGACCATGTGTCTCCAGTCCTTTAGATTCTATATTTCCCATGCTATTCTTGCCCCCCCATCTATTTTCTATCTACTGTCTATGCTACTTATTTTCTGTACCTTCTCCTCCTCCCACTCCCCTGTTGCTAACCCTCCTTGAGATCTTCATTTCTATGTTTCCACTCCTGATCTAGCTGTCCTTTTAGTTTGCTTTTGTTTTAGGTGTGGTTGTTAATAACTGTGAGTTTGTTGTCCTTTCACTGTTCATGTTTCTTTAACTTTTTCTTAATAAGTCCCTTTAACATTTCCTATAATAAGGGCTTGGTGATGATGAACTCCTTGAATCTGATCTTATCTGAGAAGCACTTTATCTGTCCTTCCATTCTAAATGAAAGTTTTGCTGGATAGAGCAGTCTTGGTTGTAGGTCTTTGGATTTCATGACTTGGAATACCTCTTTCCAGCCCCTTCTTGCCTGGAAGGTCTCTTTTGAGAAATCCACTGACAGTCTGATGGGGACTCCTTTGTAGGTGACTGTCCCCTTAGCTCTTGCTGCTTCTAGGATTCTCTCCTTCATTTTAATTTTGGCTAATGTAATTATGATGTGCCTTGGTGTGTTCCTTCTTGGGTCCAACTTCTTTGGGACTCTCTGAGCTTCCTGGATTTCCTGGAAGTCTATTTCTTTGCCAGGTTGGGGAAATTCTCCTTTATTATTTGTTCAAATAAGTTTTCCACTGGTGGCTGTGCCTTTCCCCCTTCTGGTACCCCTATAATTCGGATGTTGGAGCGTTTAAAGATGTCCTGGAGGTTCCTAAGACTCTCCTCATTTCTTTGAATTCTTGCTTCTTAACTCTTTTCTGTTTGGCCATTATTTGCTTTCTTCTGGCCCACTCCATTGATTTGAGTCCCAGTTTCCTTTTCATTGTTATTGGTGTCCTGTGCAATTCTATTCATTTCAATTAGTTTCGCCTTCATATATTTGTCTAATTTGTCAGTATAATCAACCAGTTCTGTGAGGATCCTGATGACCAGTGTTTTAAACTGTGCGTCTGAGAGTTTTGCTATTTCTTCATTGCTTAGATCTATAGGTTCTGGGGCTTTGAGATCTTCTTGCGCCATTTTTGGTCTGTTCGCGCCCTTTAAGTGTGAGAAGTGGCGCCTTGGACTCCCAGGTTGCTGGGTTGTGACGCTGTAGGTGGGGGCGTGGTCAGAGTGGGAAAATGGCGACCCCCTCTGCTGTTTCTCACAGCTGGGTGAGGAGCAGCACCTTAGGTGGTTCACCTGGGCCGGGCCACTCAGAGTTGCTGGGTTGTGATGCTGTATGTGGAGGTGGGGTCAGAGCAGGGAAATGGCGGCGCTCTCCCTGCCACTTGCCGCGGGGACCTGCTGGGTCCCGGTCCAATCGCCCACTCCCTCGCCTGTCCACCCGCGCACAAATGTAGGAGGACAGTCAACACGTAGCCCTGCTCCCCCGCTGTCTCCTCCGAGGTCACTCGCTCACTAGGTCCAACCCTGCGCCTGGATTCTGCGCGCCTGAGTCCGTCTGACCGAGTCCTCCTGTGCAACCCCACTTCACCAGCGGCTGGTTTCTCCCTGTACCGGTCAAGCTGAAGAATTTGTTGTTAACGGACTTCCGAAAAGTTCAATTTTCCGTGTTCTGGCTGTGTTTTCTGTTGCTAATATATAGTTGTCTCTAAACTTGGTTGTGTGAGAAGGCACGGCACATCCACCTATGCCTCCATCTTGGCGGAAGAGGCTTGAGTCTTATAAATTCTTTATAAATTTTGGATATTAACTTTTCAGATGTATTATTGGTAAATATGTTCTGCCATTCAGTTGATTGTCTTTTCATTTTCTTGATTTCCTTTGCTGTGCAAAAACGTTTTAGTTTGATACAGCCCCATTTCTTTTTTTTTTTTCTTTTGTTTCCCTTGCCCAAGGAGATACAGCAGGGAAAAACATACCGCTATGAGAAATGTCTGAGACTTTACTGCCTATATTTTACGATAGGATTTTTATGGCTTGAAGTCTAACATTTATTTCTTTAATACATTTTGAGTTTATTCTGTTTGCTGTAAGAAGGTGGTTTAGTTTTATTTTTTTTGCATGTGTCTGTCCTGTGTTCCCAACACCATTTATTGAATGGACTGTCTTTACTTCATTGTATGTTTTTGTTGTCTGTCAAATATTAATTGACTGTAAAATCATGAGTTTATTTCTACACTTTCTACTCTGTTCCATTGATCTATATGTCTGTTTTTATGACCGTAAAAATCTAAAATAAATCATTCAAGGTACATCTCAGTATTTCCTCCTTTTTGCAACCTTTCCTTATCTGTTTTTGATTTCCTCTTACATACCATAGCACTTTTCACTACCTTGAGTAGGAGACATCATAATTTCCTTATGTGGGATAATTGTTAGTATGTCCTACACTCCTCATTAATTGAAGACTCCTTGATGGTACTTTTGTGTCCTGTCTAGTGCAGCACCCCATACACAGTAAGTACTTGGAAAAATATTTGTTAAAGTCTAGATTGGGAGGAACAGATGTAAAATTTTTTTAAATTAAATGTAAAACCTATGATAGCTACCTGAGGAGGTGTGGGTGCAATCAAGCATGACTCTAAGTGGAGGTGATCTTTGAGCCAGGTCTTCATTCTAGGTTGAGCAGGTGATTCCCACCTGGGTGGAACTGGTGGTGAGGACAAACGTTACAGTGAACAGAAATAGTAAGTGCAGCAGCACATGCTGCTTCTGTTTCAAATCTCTTACACGAGCTCTAACACGACACTGTGACATTTTAGATATACTTAAAGGTCAATTATGATTATGATTATTGTTTAAAAACATTTTTGTGAGGTTAGCAGCTCTTAAATAGTAATTCAGGAAATTCTCACATTTTTCTGTGTAATTGAGATTGAGCATTTAAAAAACTCATTATTATTATTATCGTGTGTCTCTTCTAGGATGGCTCTAGATGACAAGCTCTACCAGAGAGACTTAGAAGTTGCACTAGCATTATCAGTGAAGGAAATTCCAACAGTAACCATTGATTTGGAGGACTCTCAAGGTAAAAGTAACTTTATTTTCTATATATTTATCTCTGTAACCTTCTCATTGCTTTTCTAATCATTTCTTCGGATGAGCTTTCACAGAGGAAAAAGTAATATTGTAATACTTTGGACTATAAATAGTGCAATTTGAACAGGGTATAATTAGATTCAGTTGTTTATTCTGTTGCACAAATCTCATACATACATTCATATATACATATATACATACAACTCTGCTGAACACCCAAAATAAACTTGAGGATGTGGGCTCTGAGCTTCGATGTCCAAATTACATTCTTGTATACAATGAAAATTTCATTTTTTGATCAAACGAATTGATCTATACAGTCTTAACAATCTACTTTCTCTCAAAATTTAAATTAGTTAAACATGACCTAATGATGATAATTTTTATTATTTACAAAGGTCAAATGTATTAATGTGGTTAGCAAGCTGAGTAGACTTAAGGGATCTGTGGTTCTGGAGTTCTCTGTATTTCTGTCCTTTTGAGTTTTCTGACAATTGTCATGGGTGCGAATACTGACATGCTGGAGAGGCAGAAATCATTATTGCTGGAAGACACTTTGAACTTCTAAAATGCTTTTTTCAAAAAAACATTATATTTTATTAATTATGCTATTACAGTTGTTTCAGTTTTTTCCTTTTACCCTGTTCCAGCCCCCCACCCCACTCCCTCATACAATCTCCCCATCATAGTCCATGTCCTTGGTTCATTCATAGGTGCTCATTAGCTACTCTATTTCCTATGCCAAACTTTATATACCCATGACTGTTCTGTAACTACTAATTGGTACTCCTTAATCCCTTCACCTTTTTCTCCTACTCTCCCTACCACCTTTCTTCTGGCAAACATCAAACTGTTCTCTGTATCTATGATTCTGTTTCTGTTCTGCTTATTTATTTATTTTGTTCTATAGATTCAGTTGTTGTTAGATATGTATTTGTTGCCATTTTATTGTTCATATTTTTGATCTTCTTAAAGAAAACCCTTTAATGTTTTAGCTTATCTGGGAAGCTTTTGATCTGCCCTTCCATTCTAAATGATAACTTTGCTTGGTAGAGCAATCTTGGTTGTAGGCCCTTGCTTTTCATCACTTTGACTATTTCTTGCCAGTCCCTTCTAGCCTTCAGTTTCTTTTTCAGCTGACAGTCTTATGGGACTCCCTCGTAAGTAACTGACTTCTTTTCTCTTGCTGCTTTTAAGATTCTGTCTTTGTATTTAACCTTTGGTATTTAACCTTTAGTGTGTCTTGGAGTGGGCCATTTAGCATCCATCTTGTTTGGGACTCTGATTTCTGGATTTGTATGTCTATTTCCTTCACCAGTTTAGGGAAGCTTTCTTTCATTATTTTTTCAAGTAAGTTTCCAATTTCTTGTTCTTTCTCTTCTTCTGGAACCCTATGATGCAATGGTGGAATGCTTGAAGTTGTCCCAGAGACTCCTTACACTACTTTTGTTTTTCTGCATTCTTTTTCCAGTTAGCAATAATTGCACCTCTGATAAACCTCATTGGATACAATACGGCCACTGCACAAATCTGGATTATTTTTTCTTCTTGCTGTTCTGGCTGGGTGTTTTCTGCTTTCTTATATTCCAAATCACTGATTGATTCTCATCTTCATCCACTCTACTGTTGATTTCCTGTAAATTGTTCTTTATTTTAATCAGTGTATCCTTCATTTCTGACTGGTTATTTTTTATGAATTCCATGTCTTTTTTTATGCTCTTGAAGTTCTCACTACGTTCGCTGAGAATCCTTATAACCAGTGAACTCTGCATCTAGTAGATTGCTTGTCTCCATTTTGTTTAGCTCTTTCCCTGGAGTTTTGTTCTGTTCTTTGTTTTGTTCATTTTGGCCATGATTCTTTGTCTCGTCATTTTGGCAGCCTCCCTGTTTGTTTCTATGTATTAGGTAGAGCTGCTACACATCCCAGGCTTGGTAGAGTGGCCTAATGTAGTAGGGGCCCAATAGGGTCCAGTTGAACAGCCTCCCCTATTACCCAAGCTGGGTACTTGAGGTATGCCCACTGAATGGGCTATGTACACCCTCCTTTTGTAGTTGAGCCTTGATTGCTGTTGGCACATCCAAGGTCTTCCACCACCTATGTTCTGTTTGGGGTCACACAGCATAAGCTACAAAGTGATCTGCAGATGGCTGCTGCCTTTGCTGGGCTTTGAGGTCCCTAGGTGAGGCTGAGGTGTCAGTGAGGCTGGCTGCTACTAGTGTCCAGCCAGGGGCAACTTGGCAACAGGTACAGGAGCTTGCTGAAGCCAGAGGCTGCTCGTTTGAGATAATTTAGGATAATCTTAGCATGAGCCAAAACACACTATTCAGATGGAAAAGCCACTGGAAGCAACTTGTGTGGTCCAAAAGTTAGGTGGGGCAGGGCCTCAGGGAATCACCAGGGTGGGGCCAATAGTGTGAGCCAGGTTGATATAGTCTCAGATATGGCACCTGCCTCCCAGCTTGGTGATTCTGTGGTGGGAAGGCTCAGAAGAGGGACAGTGGCCTCTGCCAGAACTTCTTTCTGGGAGAAAGCTATCCCCCAGCTCTTGCCCTGGTGCCAGACAGTTAGTTCCATTCTTCCCCATTTGTCTCTGATATCTTACAGTCTGCTGCCCCCACACTGGATCTCAGAGGGAGTGGATCTGCCAGGGAGTCCAGCAGTTTGTCTTCTGCAGCCTCAATCCCCTCTGGTTTTTACAGCCAGAAGTTATGGCAACTTCCCCTTCTGGCACTGGAACCCTGAGCTGAGGGGCCTGGTGTGGGGCCGGGACCCCTCACTCATGAGATATCCCTCCCGATTTTATCCGCCACGTGTGGGTATGGGACCATTCTACAATCTGCTCCTCCTAGCAGCCTTGTAGTTTTTCTTCAATTCCGTAGTTGTAGGACTTCCATTTACCTCAGTTTCTGACAGTTTTGAATGATAGTTGTTCTGTAGTTTAGTTGTAATTTTGATGTTCTGCAAGGAAGTGAGCCATGTTTCCTATACCTCCATCTTAAAGTATTTTTTGGATTAAATTGTTTTGCTTTAAACTTCCTTATTGTTGGAGGATATTTTTAGCCCATTAGTTTATGTAGGGGTATGGATTTTTTAAAATCAGTATTGCCTCCTGTATAAAAATAAATGAGACAGTGTTGATTAGGGGACTTTTAGTAATCAGGAATCATAGAAACTTTTAAAATGTTGTATATCAAAATTAAAAAAGTAAAATTCATCTTTTCTCCTATAAGAGACTGTAGAATGTATAGCAGAATTTCTTTGGAAGTACAACTTCTCATAGAATAATATACTTTATAGCTGGGATTTAATGGTACCAATTATAATAACTCAAAGTTTTATTAAAGTATTTTAGATCATTTTAAGGTATTATAATGATTGATAAGTCTCTATGCTAGTGAAAACATGGATTTGCCTACACAGAAAGAACAGTTACTATTTATTGACTATTTCCTATGTACTGGGCACTACAGTAAGCAGTTTCCACATGTGATTAACATTTAATCCCCCACAATAACCCCATTTAAACTTTACACTATTTTTATCTTCATATTATATATGAGGAGAGAATAAACAACTTTCCTTTGGTCACATAGGCAATTGAAGTGGTAGAGCCTAAATTTGAACTTCAATCTAATTAACTCTGATTTCAGAGCCCAAACTCCTAACACTATGCTAGCCTCTCCAAGTAAAGCACCAGTTTGAGTTTGGATCATCTCTATATATACCTGGACACTATTACATTTAGCACTAATCTTCCTACTCTTAGACATTGGTTGATTAAGGTACATCTGTTTTTTTCTTACATCTTCCTTATATTTAGGCAATGAAAAACGTGGCAATGGTGAAACAGAAAGAATGGATAAGTCTCCCCATATGTCCAATTGCAGTGTAGCCAGTGATTATTTAGGTAAGTTTTTTATAGTAATAATAATATTTATTTATTACAACAGTGCTGTTTTCTGACTTATATTTAAATTCCTGAAATTGTAGCTAGAACCAGGTTTTTAAATTTTGTCAAAGTTCTCTTAATCTCTTTTTTAGGTTTCTCTCTGTTTTGGCTTTCTTCTCTTTTACCGTAGACCCAGTTTGTTTCCCGGTAAAGGTCAGGAGTACCCAGGGCTTCTAAACAGAAGCAGTTGGCCACTGAAGAAAGCAGTTATATCTTCCTAGCTCTAGTTTGAAAATTCGTGGGGAAAGACACTCTCATTTTGGGTCCTGTACTTATTCTTAAACCAGACAGTGTTGCCAGGAGGCAGGTGTATGATGACTGGCCCAGATTGGGCTATGTGGTGTATTACTAGAAGCAGGGGAAGGATGAAGCTGTACAAATAAAAACAACAGATACAATAGGAGTCTACTCTCAGTTCTTTAAATATTACCATCACAAAGAGTTTTTGCATTGAATTTTGTGCCTGAATCTTGTCCTGAAGATTTGGACAAGATTACTGAGGAAGGTGCTTCTCATGGTGCTCAAGGGAAAAGAAAAGCAGCATCTAAAGCGGTCGTGCAACAGAGGAAGATTCTTTTGGAAGGCAGTGATGGTGACAGTGCTAACAACTCTGAACCAGACTATGACACTGGTAAGTTACATCCTACCTCAAAATTAATTCTATGGAGATTCAACAATACTATGGTCTCTAAGAACATAAAATGTCCTTAGGGACCATTAATGTATGCAAAGCGCTGTGTTAAATGCAACCTGAGGAAAACACAGGACAGTTAAGTTCAGCTATTGCATTTGGGGGAGAGCTTTAACTGGAGATGACCTGTAAGCCATGTGTTGAAAAATAAGTAGCATTTAGGCATACTACAGGGGTAAAATAGCATTTCTGACTGATAGCATAAATAGTGGGATACATGAGTACATGTACAAGAGTTCAGTCAGGTCTGTATAGAAGAATGCTGTAGAAAAGGCTCAAGAGGCATGCAGGCACTAGATCTTGGAGCATCTCAGACCCATTCTATAAAGTGTAGACTTTTTTCTGTGAGTAGTAGAAATTAATAAATTATTTTGGATAGAAGTGATATGAGATCTGAACTTCTGGATAAGATGGAGGCACAGGTAGGTACACTTAGATTAATCACAGAACTAAAAGAAAGACAACAACAAATTTAAAAACAAAAAACAACCAGAACTGACAGAAAATTGAACTCTGCATGGAACTCTGACAACCAAGGTGTTAAAAAAGAAACATTCATTCAAACTGGTGGGAGGGGTGGTGACAGGCAGCCAGGATGGAGAGGATGCACTGTAAGGAGACAGACCAGGCTGGGCAAGGTGGCAACTGACAGACCAGGTTGCCCCACTGTTCACAAGGAGATAAGTCAGGAAGAATGACTGGGAAGTGAGATAGACAACACAAGCCAGGGTTCCAGCATGGGGAAACTAAAGTTGCAAGAACCTGTGGCTATAAAAACTTGTGTGAGGCTGGCTGGAGAAACTCCCAGGCTCATAAGAGAGTTCATTGGAGAGACCCACAGGGTCCTAGAATGTACACATAACCACCCACCCGGGAATCAGCAACAGAAGGGCCCAATTTGCATGTGGGTAATGGGGGAAGTGTCTGAAAGCTGCCTGGAGCCCAGCAGTCAGCATTGTTCCCTCTCTGACCCCTCCCCCACATACAGCACCAAAGTGCAATGATGTGGCTTGCACTGCCCTGGCAAATACCTAAGGCTTTGCCCCTTATGATGTAACAGGTGCACCAAGACAAAGAAATATGGGCCAAATGAGAGAACAGATCAAAAGTCCAGAAGAAGAACTAAGCGATGAGGAGATAGCCAACCTATCAGATGCAGAGATCAAAACACTGATAATCAAGTTGCTCATACAAAATATTGAGTGCAGACACAAAATAGAGGAAGCAGTATAGGCTATGCAAAGTGAAATAAGGAAAGATATACAGGGAATCAACAGTAAAGGGAAGGAAACTGGGACTCAAATCAACAATTTGGAACAGATGGAAGAAATAAACATCTAACCAGAACAGAATGAAGAAACAAGAATTCAAAAAAATGAGAAGAAGCTTAGGAACCTCCAAGGTAACTTTAAATGTTCCAACATCTAAATCATAGGGGTGCCAGAAGGAGAAGAGGAAGAGTAAGAGATTGAAAACTTATTTGAAAAAAATAAGGAGAACCAACTGAAGTTCTAGGTTCAAGGTGAGCAGAGGCCATTGTCCCTTTTCTAAACAATGTTGGCAAGCTAGTGCCATAACTGAGACTCCATCAACCTGGCTAACACTGTTTGACCTGCCTTGGAGGTCTCCAGAGACTTGCTCTACACAACTTACAGGCTCACCCATGATATTTTTCCGTATGAATGACTGGTTGTGGCTCAATTTTCACAACTTCCTAAATCCTCTCAAACAAGCAACCATTGGCCTCAGCCCTAGGGATGGCACTAATAGCAGCCAGTCTAGATTCACAGCTTGGCTTGGGAATCTCCAAGCCCAGCATGGAGTAGCAGCCATCTCAGAATACTTTATAGTTCAGACAGGGTGACTCCAGGCAAAACACAGGTTGGCGTTGACCTTAGCCTTTACCACCCAGGGAAACCCGAAGGCCTGAACACCCAGTGGACAGCTACAGACCACATTGGAGTACCACCACCCTGCCCCTGCACAGCTGATCCTCCATGGAAGGCAGTAAGTGGTGAGTGGTCACAGCCAGTCCTCGCAGCTGACTGGTTTGGGCAAATCCTTCCCATTGACCTACCAGCAGCAACCAAGGCTCAACTACAAGAGGAGGTTGTACTTAGCCCACACATAGGGTGCACCTTAAGTACCCAGCTTAGGTGATAAGGGAGACTGAGCCACTGGACCCCATGGGACACCTATTATATTAGGCCACACTACCAAGACACATACTCAAAGCAGCTCTACCTAATGCATAGAAACAAACACAGGCTGCCAAAACGAGGAAACAAACATGCCCCAAATGAAAGAACAGATCAAAACTCCATAAAAGAGCTAAATGAAATGGAGATAAGCAATCTGTCAGATGCAGAGTTGCAAACACTGGTTATAAGGATGCTCAAGGAACTCGGTGAGGACCTCAATAGCATAAAAAAGATCCAGGCAGAAATTAAGAACATGCTGATGGAAATAAAGAACAATTTATAAGGAAGAAACAGTAGAGTGGATGAAGCCAAGAATCAAATCAATGATTTGGAACTTAAGGAAGGAAAAAACAGCCAATACAGAACAACAAGAAGAAAAAAGAATCCTCCAAAATAAGGATAGTATAAGCAGCCTCTGGGACAGCTTCAAGCATTGCAACATTTATATCGTACAGGTGCCAGAAGAAGAGAAAGAGCAAGAATTTGTAAACTCATTTAGAAAAACAACGAAAGAAGACTTCCCTAATTTGGTAAAGGAGATAGACATGCAAATCCAGGAAGCACAGAAAGTCCCAAACAAGATGGATACAAAGAGGCCCACTCCCAGACACATCATAAGGAAAATGTCAAAGGTTAAATACAAAGAGAGAATCTTAAAAGCAGCAACAGAAAAGCAGTTAGTTACTTACAGGGGACTTCCCATAAGACTATCAGATTTCTCAAAAAAAACTTTGCAGGCTAGAAGGGAATGGCAAGGCATTCAAAGTCATGAAAAGCAGGTACCTACAACCAGGACTGCTCTACACAGCTAAGCTATCATTAAAATCAACAGGTAAATAAAGAGCTTTCCAAATAATAGAAAATTAAAGGAGTCCATCATCACCAAACCACTGTTATATGAAATGTTAAAGGTACTTATTTAAGAAAAAGAAGATCAAAACTATGAGCAATAAAATGGCAAAAAAAAGACATATCTATCATCAGTTGTCTCTAAAAACCAGACAAGCAAACAAGCATAACAGAGACAGAATCATGGATAGGGAGAATGTTTTGATGGTTGCCAGATGGGAGGAAGTATGAGGGAATGGGTGAGGAAGTGAGAGGATTAAGAATTACAAATAGGTAGTTATAAGATAGCCATGGGGATGTAAAGTTTAGTATAGGAAATGGAGTAGCCCAAGAACTTATACGCAGGACCCATAGACATGAATAATTGCCTGAGGGAGGGGGGTTCCTGGGTGGAGGTGGTAATGGGGAAAATCAGGACAACTATAAAAGCATAATCAATAAAATATAATTAAAAAAATAATACAATAATCAGTAAGTAATAATACAAGAAGAAAATCTGTTGCAAGAGCTGTAGATAAAGTCAAGGCCATAAAAGCCTCACTTTTTATAACAAAGGTAGAGTATATTATCTTCTTTTAGGTGAAGATTCTGAGGATGATTCTGATATTAGTGAGAGTGAAGATAATGATGAAGAATTCACTATGAGAAAAAGTAAAGAAATTAAAAAGAAAGAAGTGAAGGTTAAATCCCCAGTTGAAAAGAAAGAGAAGAAACCTAAATCCAAATGTAATGCATTAGGTAAGCTTAGTTCAAAACACTTTGTAAAGAAAATGTATTTGGTTTATTTAATTGGTTTTTCTTATCTTTGCCTTTGTTCTCCTTAAAAGTTTGCCATTGTTCATTTCTATGTAGTTAAAATGCATAGAAGAAAGCAGAGTGGGGTGGGAAAAAGAACAACAAACAAGACTAGTAAGTTCCACTACAAGTCTAGCACTTTCTGTAATTCCCTCCCTTTAGCACTGACAACCGCCCTCTCAGATAGCTGTTATCGCCTGCATTTTCCAGTGAGAAAATGGAGGCTCCGGGAGGTTAAATAATTTGTTGGAATTCTTACAACTAATAAGTAGGGGACTGGGATTTGCACCCAGGTTTGTTCATTCAGGGCCGGAACTCTATCCACTGGACCACATTTTCTTCAAGCAATTAATTAAACAGGCAACTTTGCATGATTCTAACATCTTGCTTTCGTGCTTGATTAATCTTTGATTTGAGAATCCTTCTACCACATGTTTAGGGCCTTTTTGTTTTTCTCAAAACAAATTCTGTTACAAACCATTTTTTTACAGTAAAACTTTTGCAATTTGTGACAATTTGAACATAGAATACCTGCTTCTTCTGTAAAAGAAGTTAGGATGTTTTTAACTTATATGATAGATTATTATAACATGTAACTTTCATTAACTTGATTCGTTTTACATATATATATATTTATGTCCTATTTGCTCAATATAAATGCTTTTGAAACTAAAATTTCCATTATACAGACTGCATTTATTAATGGTGGGAATTGCTCGTCTTTTATACCATGGTGTTGAGTACTTGCTAAGAAATAAGAATTATATGCTGATTGAGTCATAGTCTTCTCTCCACTGTATTCTGAATTAGGTCTTAATTATTTTTTTAATTGATAGATATATTTCCCAGAAATTACATTTCAAATGTAGAGGTTTTTAGAGATAAAGTTGTGTATTAGTTTCCAATTGCTACTGTAAAAAATTACCACAGACTCAGTGGCTGAGAATACCACAGTGTATTATTTTACAGTTCTGCAGATCACACGCTAAAATTGTTTCTCGCTGGGGTAAAGTCAGGCTATCAGTAAGCTGTGCTCTGCGGAGGCTGTAGGGGACATCTATTTCCGTGCCTTTTTCTGCTTCTAGAGGCCGCCTTTGTGCTTTGATGAGATTCCCACTTCAATCTCTGAGGCCAGCAATGGCAGGCACTTTTTTTACCTCCCATTGCACTCACGCTCATTCCTGCTTCTTAGTCTTACTTATAAGGACCCTTGTGAGAACATTGGGCCCATGCAGATACTTCAGGAAAATCTCCCCACTTCAAGATCCTTAACTTAAAGGCTCCTGCTGAGACCCTTTGTTGTGTAAGGTAACATATGCAAATGTTCTGGGAATTGTGATATAGACATTTTTGAAGGGCCATTTTTCTGCCTACCACAAGCTAATATGAAAACATCATTAACAGTTTGAATATATTTTATATATTTTTAGATATCTCTGCTTCCTCCCCAAGACACTAAATACTAAAAATAAAATTTTAGTTTCCAAGTTGCAATTTACTTTACAAAGGTTTTTATATATTTTGGAACAAATTGCTTCACAAAGAATTTTAATATATAGTATTAGAAGTATAATTTAACTCCTAAGTAATGGGATAAAGAATGAGAAAAGATAGATTATATTTCTAGTTCTAATAATGTATTGAATAACCTTTGAAAGTCTGCCATCTGGTACATTATAATTTTTTTCCTTGGAGAAAATTGCAAGATTTGCACTGTTCAATGTGGTAGCCACTAACTACTTGTAACTATATTACGTTTGTGTTCATTAAAGTTAAATAAAATTAGAGATCAGTTCTTTGATTTTGCTAGTCACATTTCAAGTGCTCAGTAACAATATGTGGCTAGCGGCTAGCACATAGGGCAGCACAAAATACACATTTCCATCATCACAAAAAGGTTCTGTTGAACAGTGCTGATCTAGGGAACATGTGTTAATATTAAGACTATATAGTGAAAATTTTCATATTCATCTGCATTTGGGATACCCCTTAGGTAACTCAAAGCAAGCATAATCTGAAAGCAAATTTAGATTTTACCTCTCTTCCTCCCTTTATTTTCCACCCCTCCCCCCAAAAACCCAAGCTGACTTCCATCCTTGTGTTTATTCTCTGGAGTCAGGCAGCACCAAGCAGTGTGCTGACAGGAACTTACGTGTTATGGTTGTTTCATCTCCATCACCACCTCCCCTGTCTAATTACTAAAAAATGCCTAATCTGCTATTTTTCCCCTCCTTTTCCCTCTTAGTTCAGGCACTTATCACCTCTCACTTGGCCTAACATAAGAGCCTTCTCAGAGGTCCACTTGCCATTCATTACCGTCAGAAAGATGTTTTCAAAATGCATGTACTCCTGAGAGAAATTAATGCATGACTCCTTCACTGGTATGCATGCTCTCTATCAACGATCTGCACCTTGTCCATACCTCTCACCTTTCCAGCCCTTGCCATTCTGGCTGTGGCTATACTGAGCCAGTAGCTGATTCTGGAACTTGGTGCATCCTCTGGCTTTGTTCTTACTCCCTCTGCCTGGAAAACTTCCTCTACCCTTTCAGCCTTGATTTGTTTCAAATTAATCTCACCCACCTCCCTGTGACTTCTAAACTTATGTTGATATACACAGAGTAGATGTTTTCTTTGACTGTGCTCATCTCCAGAGTCTGTCATATCTTTCTTATCACTCTGCATTATATATGTCTCATTATTCAGTGCCCTTTCACTGGAGTCCAGTGACTGGACCATGGAAATTCCTTGGGAGCAGGATCCACGAGTTATGTTCTTTGTGGCCCTAGAGCCTAATATAGGGTGTGGCCCTAGACCCTAGTATAGAGCCTAATGTTTTCTCACAGATCTATCCTGATGAGCAACTGTTGTATAATGTTTAGAAGGATAAACTTGGGAGTCAGACCTGGTTCCTAATCCTGGTTATAACATTTACTAGAGACCAAACTGTGGCAGACTCTGGTCAGCAGAGTCTGCCTGTTGTGACCAATAAGAATTCTTATTGGTCTCTAAGAATTTCTCTACAGCAATCCTGTGGAGAAAAAGGGGACAGCATGGCCATTCTCTCAAGGGGAGAGTGCCTCGACCCTTGCCTACACAGGCTTTTATTGTTTTCCTTGGATCTTACATCAAAGAAGGATTTATTATCTATTACATAGAAAGAGTATTGTCTACATTTTAGGTACAGTCAAGGAAATAAAAATAACATATGCAGAAGGGAAAGGCAGTGAGCTTATTATCTCTGTCCTTGAGAAAATTCACACAGGCTTTGGAAATTACCTTGAAGATAGACAATACACATTTATTATTTCAGACTAGGGTGATGGAGTTTTAGCAAGAACAAGCCATAACAGTCTGTATGCATTTTCTAGGCCTGAGTCCCACGGGAAAACTTGTTTTGAAGGTCTGGTTCCTGCCTACCACTTTGCTTCTGTAGGTTTTCCATACAGAGCTGAGTCATATTTAGCAGACCAAAACAACCCTGCATCAAACTATAGGCATTTTGCCTAACCTCTCTGTTTCCTTCTGTGACAGTGAAGACAGTAATATTTGTATTAGAGTTGCTCTAAGGATTAAAGATAATGTATATAATATTTTTGCTGCATTGCATATCATATAAATGTTCATAAAAGATGGCTATTCTGAGGCTCTCAATAAATGTTTATTGAATAATAAGAGTTTTTGAAGATGATATTGCCTTTTTAATATTTATAAGA